CCACATTAGAGAAGCCTTGAAGTATTAATATACAACAGGAACAAGAATAGAGAAGTCAACACTCATATCAGAAGAGTTTTGTTTATTTATATATACAAGAATTGATACATTCTTGCACAGCCACTAGCACGCATAGTGATTCAGGCAAGTCCTTAATCCTAATTTTTCCCTGGAATACGACCCGCCAAATCGTTTAACAACCAGGTACCCATTCACTGCTGGGTGATCAGAGGCTACAGTTAAGGACTGGCGCCCAGTCAATCCTTCCTGGCCAGGGTATGAACCCAAGCCAAAGCGCTCGCAAATCGTAAGGCGAGTATTTTACCACTACACCACCGACTCTGCTTTTTTTTAGATATTTAGAAAATGGTGTTTATAAAAATTAGATATTTAGAACAATGGTATAATATCCCTGCCATAAAAGTCTGTTACAAATTCACTTCGAACTCTATTTTAATGACAGAATTTAGCTATTTTGTTTAACAACTTTAATATCTCACATTTGTAATTAGCATATTAGCTAAATGAATTGTGAGGTTGAGTTCCTGAGCCCATTATGCGCCTCTGTAACCCTTTCCACTACCGCCCACAGGATGGGTATGGGGTGCATAATAAATGAACATGAAACAGAAAGCCATAAGTTAGATGGTGTATTGACCGCTCCTGATGACGTCAATAAGGAGGCGGGGCTTTAGCAAATACCTTCCTGTGATTGGCTGTTGCAGGGAATGCCAACACTCTTTCGTTGAATGAAATGTAAACTAAGAAATACTGATACGTTCTTTTGTTCAACAACCTCTTTGTTTTGTTCTTGAAAGATTTTCCATCTATTTGAATAATGTAGTTCAATAAGATAGTGGAGCATCTTATCATCAATGTTATAGATTATTATTATTAATATTTGTGTTTGGCAATCCCCACTGAAGATGCCACAAGTTTGGTAGCCAGGCCACTTTTTCTGTAACATCCTTTATATCCTGCAATATTGAATTGTCACTTTATTAATACTTTTAAATAATTAACACTTGATATTTTAGGTAGATTAAAGTTGAAGCAGAATGTCATAAGCAGTGCTAATGTGCTGAACAAAGATGAATTATTAATTGAGTGGCACCTTTAGCTGATCCCTTCCTGTGATTGGCTGTTGTGGTGAATGTCAACAAAGAATATCCACCAATGAGACACAAGCGCGGGAATTATTACTCGAGCCCAACAACCCGCCTTATGGGCTGCTGTTTGGCTATTGATAGTGCCTGGGCGAGGCAACAGATGGCGCCAGCTGTATTTGGCAGGAGGGTTGTTGATGGTGTAATTTGATGTCAACAGATGGCATAAGCTGTATCTTATGGCTACTGTTAACCAGCCAGTTGATAGTCTTCTTTTCTGCCAATAGATGGTGTAGGCTGTACTATTATGACTTCTGTATTCACTTAATGTATTGCTGTTTATTGAGGTGTGATGTATTCCCAAATAAATTAAACATCAGTCCGTAGCAATAATAATACTAATTGTTATTTACTAGAAAGTACAATGGGATTGTAAGATTACATATAATTGATATTGTTACATTCTTGCAAAGCCACAAATTATACACACAATAACAGCATTTCACAGCAAAAATACTTGGATCTTTTGACATTTAGTAGAGAATTCCAATGTCAATTCTTTCCTTCTTTATTATGCCCCCCATACCCATCCCGTGGGCAGTGGTGGATGGGGTTACAGAGGCACTGAACCTAATAGTTCATTTAGCTAAGCAACTGACATTCTTGAGAAGCGAGTTACACATTCGTTAAAGTTACATGTACATATATATATATACAATCATTTACACAAATTCATAGTGAATTCCAATCAATGAATCTCCTTTGACGAAACTGTACTGTGCTCGCTTTAGCAAGGTAAACTATATATTTATAGTTTATATATGTTTATATATGTATATATATATATATATATATATATATATATATATATATATATATATATACATATATACATATATATATATACATATATATATATACATATATAACTGAAAACTCACACCCCAGAAGTGACTCGAACCCATACTCCCAGAAGCAACGCAACTGGTATGTACAAGACGCCTTAATCCACTTGACCATCACGACCGGACAAAATGAGGTGATAGCCGAGGCTATTTGAACCACCCCACCGCCGGCACTCGGATAGTAATCTTGGGCATAGCATAAGGCGTCTTGTACATACCAGTTGCGTTGCTTCTGAGAGTATGGGTTCGAGTCACTTCTGGGGTGTGAGTTTTCAGTTGCATATTGTCCAGGGACCATTCTGGCTTGTTCGCATTTGTGTTCCTCACGTGTGCCCCTAAGAATGAGGTGATTTGGTAAATGCTATGCCCAAGATTACTATCCGAGTGCCGGCGGTGGGGTGGTTCAAATAGCCTCGGCTATCACCTCATTTTGTCCGGTCGTGATGGTCAAGTGGATTAAGGCGTCTTGTACATACCAGTTGCGTTGCTTCTGGAGTATGGGTTCGAGTCACTTCTGGGTGTGAGTTTTCAGTTGCATATTGTCCAGGGGACCATTCTGGCTTGTTCGCATATACATATATATATATATATATATATATATATATATATATATATATATATATATATATATATATATATATATATATATATATATATATATATATATATATATATATATATATATATATATATATATATATATATATATATATATATATATATATATATATATATATATATATATATATATATATAATATATATATATATACATATATACATATATATATATATATATATATATATATATATATATATATATATATATATATACATACATATATATATATACATATATATATATATATATATATATATATATATATATATATATATATATATATATACATATATATATATATATATATATATACATATATATATATATACATATATATATATGTTCATGAGGCTTTTCATATGTTCATGAGGCTTTTCTTTAATCTTTCATCCTTATTCTCTGACCGCTTAATCCTCTTTGACCATTCTAAGCTAAGCTATACCTGATTTTGGTTAATTACACCTGACCAACCCTAGGGATGGGTTGGTCAGGTGTCGGCCTATATATCCTCCCCCTTCTCCCTTCTCCTTAGTCAGTCTGGTGTTGACAAAGGCTTTGTCAACAAGGCTTTGTCATATATATATATATATATATATATATATATATATATATATATATATATATATATATATGTATATATATATATATATATATATATATATATATATATATATGTGACCGAAAAAGTAAGATTAATAATTCTAACACGAATTTTCTCAATATTTCTTATGTTTCTTTTCACTGTTGATGGTAATTGAAAAATCAATTCTCCAAAATTCATTTTTATTTCTAGTCTGACGCGACACTTGAACGCGTCTAAGACTTTAGTTTACACACACACGCAACTATAACCTGCAAACACTAAACAGAGTTTTACTATGCTAATATTTAAACAGCTTATGTCTTATATGCCCGTATTTGGGTGAGGTGATATGTTACAACAGTTTTGGATGAGGTGAACAAACTTTCAACACAAGACAGAACACGGTGCAATGGATATAGAATGGAAGTAACTGCAAAGGGCCTATTGGCCCATATTTCTTGATGCTTCTATATTGGAGCGGAGTCTTGAAGTGGGTAGAATATAGTTGTGCATTAATTGGCTGTTGATTGCTGGTGTCGACTTCTTGATGTGTAGTGCCTCGCAGATATCAAGCCGCCTGCTATCGCTGTATCTATCGATGATTTCCGTGTTTTTTGTTAAGACTTCTCTGGTGATGGTTTGGTTGTGGGATGAGATTATATGTTCCTTAATGGAGCCCTGTTGCTTATGCATCGTTAATCGCCTGGAAAGAGATGTTGTTGTCTTGCCTATATACTGAGTTTTTTGAGGTTTTTGAGGCTTACAGTCCCCAAGAGGGCATTTGAAGGTATAGACGACGTTGGTCTCTTTTAAAGCGTTCTGCTTGGTGTCTGGAGAGTTTCTCATGAGTAGGTTGGCAGTTTTTTTGGTTTTATAGTAAATCGTCAGTTGTATCTTCTGATTTTTGTTTGTAGGGATAACGTTTCTATTAACAATATCTTTCAGGACCCTTTCCTCCGTTTTATGAGCTGTGGAAAAGAAGTTCCTGTAAAATAGTCTAATAGGGGGTATAGGTATTGTGTTAGTTGTCTCTTCAGAGGTTGCATGGCGTTTCACCTTCCTTTTTGTGATGTATATATATATATATATATAACTTAATTATATAACTACATATATATATGTTATATAATTAATATATATATATATATATATATATATATATATATATATATATATATATAAAGACTATATATAATTATTAATATATAGTGTTGTGTAGCGGCAGGACAGCTACGTTAGAGCATGTTTCCTATTCCCTTGTTCAGCAAAGAGTCCAAAGGTGTCCGTGATCCATACAACTGTTGTGGGCAGCATCCGCCACACTGAGAAACCCAACCATATGTTGTCTATACCTTATACTGCATAGCTTTATTTTCCTTTGCAGTTGGTAAGACATTTATCCTAATACGGCAGAAAATGTATATTAATTTCGGATTTTAGAGCTTACACAAATTGTTTTGATATAGTGAATGTAGGTAAGGAATAGTAATATTAATTAGGAGGTTTGTAAGTTATATGTATGAATTTTTGTTGTATAAAGTTAGGATTAATAAGGTGTATTGTCATTGGAGTCTGGCATCGCTGTTTCCTGACTCGAATGTTTTGTTCCAATAATTACCCAATAAATTAAATAATCGACAGTAATTATGACACTGAACCGAATTATGAAGTATTTTTATATAAGAATAATATACAGGAATGAGTTTTAATAGCGGTTATTGAAGGAAAAGGCAATATTAGTGGGTTTTGAGAGAGTGTAGTTGCGGGGGCTAGAGTGCGCGCCGCGCCACTGAGTCAGTGAGTGAAGATGGCCGGGGCGGGAGGTCCCCATATCTCTAACTCTCCCTCCAATCTCTCTCGAAGTTTAGATAGGATACTTGCCGACGCCCAGGCCACGTGTGAGTTAAGACTTAGTGGGCGCAAGTTAAAGGAATACCCTAAAGGTGCGGCCAAGTATAATCTGAGCGACACTGTGGTGGCAGGTGAGTAATGGCGCCAGTTTATAAACTGTTTGTGGAGGCCGTGGCGCCTCTTGTCCCTCTCGTGGCTACTCGTGGCTCTCGTGGCTTTTCTGTCGCTCTGTTAGTGTCTTGGTAGGTTGAGGTGATGGGGGTTGGGGGTCCAGGGGGGTTGGTGTGGTGTGTGGCGGGGTTTTACTCCTTTTGGAGAGTCTGTTTGGGGCGTGTTGGTGTGGGTTTGGAGGGTTGGTGTTGAGCGGCTCCAGGTGAGGGTGTGGGGGGGAGGGGGGGCGGGAGGGTGTGTTCCGTCACTTGTATTTGTAAATATGATCATTGTGTGTATAGGATCACTCTCTTTCCTCTCTCTCTCTTCTCCCTCCTCCCTCTCTCTCCTCTCCCTCTCTCCTTCCCCCTCCCTTCACCATCTCATTCTCCACTTCCCCCTCTTCCTCTCCTATCCTTCTCCCCCCTCCCGATTCATCTCCCCCTTTTTTCCCCTCTTTTCTCACCCTTCCTCTCTCTCTCTCTCTTCCCCCCTGCTCTTTCTCCCCCCTGCTCTTTCCCCCCCTGCTCTTTTCCCCCCCCTGCTCTTTCCCCCCTACTCTTCCCCCCCTGCTCTTTCCCCCCCCTGCTCTTCCCCCCCCCTGCTCTTTCTCCCCCCTGCTCTTTCCCCCCCCTGCTCTTTCCCCCCCCTGCTCTTTCCCCCCCCTGCTCTTTCCCCCCCCTGCTCTTTCCCCCCCCTGCTCTTTCCCCCCCCCCCTGCTCTTTCCCCCCCTGCTCTTTCCCCCCCCCCCCCACCTGCTCTTTCCCCCCCCCCACCTGCTCTTTCCCCCCCTGCTCTTTCCCCCCCCTGCTCTTTCCCCCCCTGCTCTTTCCCCCCCCTGCTCTTTCCCCCCCTGCTCTTTCCCCCCCCTGCTCTTTCCCCCCCACCTGCTCTTTCCCCCCCCTGCTCTTTCCCCCCCCCCCTGCTCTTTCCCCCCCCCCTGCTCTTTCCCCCCCTGCTCTTTCCCCCCCCCTGCTCTTTCCCCCCCCCTGCTCTTTCTCCCCCCCCCCCTGCTCTTTCCCCCCCCCCCTGCTCTTTCCCCCCCCCCTGCTCTTTCCCCCCCCCTGCTCTTTCCCCCCCCCCCCTGCTCTTTCCCCCCCCTGCTCTTCCCCCCCCCCCCTGCTCTTCCCCCCCCCCCCCGCTCTTTTCCCCCCCGCTCTTTCCCCCCCCTCTTCTCTTCCCCCCCCTGCTCTTTCCCCCCCCCGCTCTTTCCCCCCCCCGCTCTTCCCCCCCCCTGCTCTTTCCCCCCCTGCCCTTCCCTCCCCTCCCCCCCCCCCTGCTCTTCTCCCCCCCCCCTGCTCTTCTCCCCCCCCTGCTCTTTCCCCCCCCCCTGCTCTTCCCCCCCCTGCTCTTTCCCCCCCCTGCTCTTTCCCCCCCCTTCTTCCCCCCCTGCTCTTTCCCCCCCTGCTCTTTTCCCCCCCCCTGCTCTTTTCCCCCCCCCTGCTCTTTTCCCCCCCCCTGCTCTTTCCCCCCCTGCTCTTTCCCCCCCCCCCTGCTCTTTCCCCCCCCCCCCTGCTCTTTCCCCCCCCCCCTGCTCTTTCCCCCCCCCCCCCCCTGCTCTTTCCCCCCCCCTGCTCTTCCCCCCCCTGCTCTTTTCCCCCCCCCCCCCTTGCTCTTCCCCCCCCTGCTCTTTCCCCCCCCCCCTGCTCTTTCCCCCCCCCCTGCTCTTTCCCCCCCCTGCTCTTTCCCCCCCCCCTGCTCTTTCCCCCCCCCTGCTCTTTCCCCCCCTGCTCTTTCCCCCCCCTGCTCTTTCCCCCCCTGCTCTTTCCCCCCCTGCTCTTTCCCCCCCCTGCTCTTTCCCCCCCCCCTGCTCTTTTCCCCCCCCTGCTCTTTCTCCCCCCTGCTCTTTCCCCCCCCCTGCTCTTTCCCCCCCTGCTCTTTCCCCCCCCTGCTCTTTCCCCCCCCTGCTCTTTCCCCCCCTGCTCTTCCCCCCCCCTGCTTTCCCCCCCCCCTCTGCTCTTTCTTTCCCCCCCCTGCTCTTTCTCCCCCCCTGCTCTTTCTCCCCCCCCTGCTCTTTCTCCCCCCCCTGCTCTTTCTCCCCTCCTGCTCTTTCTCCCCCCCTGCTCTTTCTCCCCCCCCTGCTCTTTCTCCCCCCCCCCTGCTCTTTCTCCCCCCCCTGCTCTTTCTCCCCCCTGCTCTTTCTCCCCCCTCCCCCCTCTCTCGCTCTTTCCCCCCTCCCTTCTTCTATATATATATATATATATATATATATATATATATATATATATATATATATATATATATATATATATATATATATATATATGAAAACTCCACACCTCAGAAATGACTCGAACCTGGACCTCCAGGGACACATTGCAACTGGTGTCCCAGCAACCAAATGTAACTAGCCACTATTGTATAAAAAGAAAAAATCCAATTAGCTGAAATTTCATGTTGATTTTTGTGTCATGTGCAAAAGAAACTCCCAGAACCCCATCAAGCAGGTTAACAGAGCCAGGTTTGAACATGAACCCTTGCTCTTCCTTATGATTAACCATCTTAAACCCCTTGGGTAACTCCATCACTAAATGACTTTCAACTGTTCACAAACTTATCATTTATATCAATTTAGATGAGGGAATTGGTCGACTATGGTTTGGCATTGTATTTTTACAATGGCCCTTTGTTGATTTTGATGAATCGTGGTGTAGTAAATATACAGTCTAGTATGTGTAAAGAACATTCATGTTTCATAATTGCATTGTTTGTTTACAACCAGTCGTGTATTACAGTAACTATTTACAGAAAACAAATGGAAATTTATATTCACAAAATTGTACGAGGCAACGATGTAATATAATAGGCTCAACATTGTAATACAGTAGTTCAGATTTAACAATGATTAATTACAGTGAATTACTCCAAATGCTCTCTCATCCATACTTCAGTACTCAGGGATAAGTGGTATCACTCGTGATTCAAATGTTCGGGAATCAATGGCTGATGTACTTTGCACAGATGTGTCGACTCTTGTAGCATAGCATCACTGTAAAGATGTGTGTACTATATTTTACATAGTACTTTGACATCAAATCATTATTAAATGTATTCAGTACAGTACTCATGAATGTACTTGAGTGGTAGAATCATCATTCTACCACTCAAGGGGGAATATGGGGGAATAATGAATAGCCTGCTTGATACCTGCTTGATGGGGTTCTGGGAGTTCTTCTACCCCCCAAGCCCGGCCCGAGGCCAGGCTTGACTTGTGAGAGTTTGGTCCACCAGGCTGTTGCTTGGAGCGGCCCGCAGGCCCACATATACCTGGTTGATGGGGTTCTGGGAGCTCTTCTACTGCCCAAGCCCGGCCCGAGGCCAGGCTTGACTTGTGAGAGTTTGGTCCACCAGGCTGTTGCTTGGAGCGGCCCGCAGGCCCACATATACCTGCTTGATGGGGTTCTGGGAGTTCTTCTACCCCCCAAGCCCGGCCCGAGGCCAGGCTTACCTGACACACAGTCAAAATATCTTTCTCCCACACAATTTCTTTGACTGTTAAATGATTCCATTCCACAGTCCAAACAGCAGATGTTCCCCACTGTAAGCTAAATATGACTTACAAAAATGGAGAATCATCTTGGTAGTTTCCCTTCATCATTGTCATCTCTCTGAGCTTTCTTCATCTGGTAGCAAAGATGACATTCAACTCACACCTGTTCCATATATATTTTTTTGCATCTAGACAGCCATGAGTGGCAATTGTTGTAAAAGAGAAAATATGAGGTAATAGAGTCATGTCTTCTGTAGCGATCATCTTGATAGGGTTGGGAAAAGTTCATATTTCCTCAAGATGATGTGAAATTGCAACATAAATGGTTTTATGTTATTTAAATTGTAACACAAGTGCTTTTGTAGCATAGGTGCTATTGTGTTGTTGTTTAAATTGTAACATAGGTGTTATTGTGCCATTGCTTATATTGTAACATAGGTGCTATTATGCTGTTGTTTATATTGTAACATAGGTGCTATTATGCTGTTGTTTATATTGTAACATAGGTGCTATTATGCTGTTGTTTATATTGTAACATAGGTGCTATTATGCTGTTGTTTATATTGTAGCATAGGTGCTATTATGCTATTTATTAATTTGTAATATAGGTGCCATTATGCTATTGTTGTAACAAGCGTTACTATGCTATTGTTTACATAAACCAATCACTTATAAAGGCAATTAGTAAACATTATTAGAGGTGAAGATGCTTATCTAGCATCTTCCAGCAGGAACCATTTTCACTGGGAAATGTGATGCCCTTTTTAAGTACTTGGCCTTGAAATTTGGGTGTTAATTTTCCTAACGTATGTTCGTGCTTCCTATCTCTTGCTGGATGTAAGGTTAACGCGTTAGTGTTTAGTTTACATTAACAAATTCTCAAGGGCCGTGACGGGGATTCGAACCTGCGCCCGAGAGCATCCTAGACACTGCCTTAATCGACTGAGCTATGACAGCGTCTGGGATGCTCCCGGACGTAGGTTCGAATCCTCATCATGGCCCTTGTGGATTTGTTCATTTGATGCATCACATTAGTGTGATCTCTGTGTATGATTCAGTTTACATTAATCATATTATCATACTGCCTATCATACCTTGATAGCATCTTGACCCAACAGGTTATTGGTGTGGGAAACCTGCAAGTCGCAGAAGGTAAATTTATTAAAATTTTCACCTGATTTAAACCTGATCAGAATTCGATATATCTCATAAGGGAAGTTATAAGTTGGCCATATGTCTGTGTACAATATATAGCTAATAAGGCAAGTGTCTGTGTACAATATATAGCTAATAAGGCAAGTGTCTGTGTACAATATATAGCTAATAAGGCAAGTGTCTGTGTACAATATATAGCTAATAAGGGAAGTGTCTGTGTACAATATATAGCTAATAAGGGAAGTGTCTGTGTACAATATATAGCTAATAAGGCAAGTGTCTGTGTACAATATATAGCTAATAAGGCAAGTGTCTGTGTACAATATATAGCTAATA